GCCGTGCAGGCAGGTGGGCGCCCTGCCCCCTCCCCGGTGCTCACGACACCCGGGCAGACGGCCGGCCCCAGTGCGAGTCCGTGGCCGCTGGGCTCCCTCCTCGGCCAGCCAGCCCCTCAGCACGGTTTGATCCAGGGTGGGGAGCCAGACCCCGTCGTCCTGGCTGCTTGGTCCTTCGGTCAGATGGTCCTGCAAACCCTAGGACAGCCGTGCAGGCAGGTGGGCGCCCTGCCCCCTCCCCCTCAGCCTGTGTGATGGAGAGCTGGGGGGGGGGTCACAGCAAGGACTGAGCACACCTCTTTCAGAACACAAATTTATTTGGCATTTGGACGAAATGGTTCTCACATCATCTTAAGAAAAGGATTAGTGCCAACCCAACCAAAAATAAACCCGAACTAAAAACCCTTAGTGAAAGCATCAACATAGAAAACCAGCATTGAGACAACATACAGTATCAAACCCCGCATCTGCAGGCAGCGTGGGGGGCACCCAACCTCAGATGCAGCCACCAGCTAGTCGCGGGCTCAGAAGCCCCCCCAAGAGCTTAGGGACCCATGGTTTGGGCAGGACACCGCTCACAGTAACGCGGGATTCGACAGACCCTGGAGTACATCCTGTCTTGCAAATGATGGCCCATGGGAAGAGGTGAGGGACGGTGGAGCCCCAGCCCTCACAGCCGCTCTGCAGCAGACCCCACGGGGCCTGGACACCCTTTCCAGGGTCGGGCAGGGCTCTGGGACAGCCTGGGAGCCCACAGCTAGGGCACCAGATGAGGCGGGCTGTGGAAGCGGAAGGGAGCCGCTGGGTAACCTGCAGAATGCCTGGTAGAGGCAGGTCAACCCCACAGCCACTGAGCGTACTACAGGCCACCCCTTCCTTCCTGCCTCTCCCACAGAGCCCACTGGCTCAAGTCTCAGTCTCAGGAAACTTCCTGGCCCCACGGCTCTGGCCAGTGTCCCTGCCTGGGCACAGGCTCTCAGGCCCAGGCTGGGGGACCCCCTGCGCTGTCCAGGCCAGGCCCCTGTGGGGCTGTTGGGTGGTTGGTCTGTGGCCCATTTGGGACCACTGGTGGCATCCGCAAGCCCAGAACCTCCTCTGGCAGCAGGACTTGTTGGCACCTGCTACAGGGCTCATCTTTGGCACAGAGTGGGCACGAGGCACAATTCTCGACGGCAGATGGGCCCGGGGGCAACGGGGAAGCCTCAGCAGGGCCTGCCTGTGCCAAAGACGGGCTGGTGCCAGGAGGACGGCTCGAAGGCCACAGCTCCTACCTCCAGCCACTCTGGGGCCTGTCTGCCAGACCTGGGGCGACTCTTCCGAGTTCTCTCATTCCCCACTGGCAAAAAGTGGCAGCCGACCAGAGTGAGAACATGGCCAGAACTGGACTGTGCCACGGAGGCCTGTCACTACAGACCCGAACACGCACTCCAGGGCCTCCCTGTTAATGCTGACTGCCGGGATGACAACAACACAACGAATAAGGGTCGGTCCTCTGGTCTTCCCGCTCCTACAGGGAGCGACCCCACCCGAGCTCCCAATGACCACCACTGCTTGTATGCACACGCAGACACGCACACACACAAAGAAAGGTCCAGACACCGAAGGTAGAAAAAGGTATGCTTGAAAAAGCACACAGTACCTGCTTTCTCTCCAACTTCACAAGGGCCCCCAGGCCACCACCCCGAGCTGCCCGGGGAGGCTGGGGGTGCGAGCAGCTGCCAGGCACTTGGCTGGAGTGCCTCCATGGAGCCAAGTCTTGGAGGTGTGCAAGGGGACTTTCAGGAGGCGGGAACAGACCAGGATGTTCATTTAAGCCACCCCCTCAAGACACAACCCTTTTATGGCACAAACAAGGTGACTGGGGGGAGACTGAGCCAACAGGAGGCAGAGCTGCAGGTCATAGGTCATAGCTGGCTTGGGCCTGACTCCCAGCACAGGGTCCAGGACCAGTACCTCCCAAGCCCAGCCCAGGGCCTCAAGCCAGACTGTAGGGTCTCATGTAGGAAGTGGGTGGCAGAAGACAGCGCAAAGCTGGGAGAACGGGTGGGCGGGTGCAGAGGGGCTGCCTTCCATGCTTCCTTCTCAGGGCCCTGGGGGAGCACCAGGCCGGCCTTCAGCCCGGGGCACTGTCACCAGATGCTATGGCTGGGCCTGTGGGGACCGTCCCCCATGCAGCGGTCACGGTGCCCTCAGACTGCCTGTCCTGAGACAGTCCTACTGCAGGCGATGCTGGCGGCCACTCCCCAATCCCTGGAACTGCCCTCCTGGGCCCAGCTGTGCCCCGCAAGGCCCCTGCAGCCACCGGGCTCTGCTCAGGGGCTGGCGACCTGCTGCGCAGAGTTCTCCAAAGGCATGTGGGGACGCAAGCGTGCCGGAGACATGTTTGCTTTGGCCCTGGAGCCACGGCCCCCGTGGCCTTTTGTTCTCTACCTCGGGGAAGTGTGGTCTGAACAAACTTTGTCCATCTTCGGCCATTTAAAAAAAGACAGTGACCCAAAGCTATGCATGTTTGGGAAGCCCTCCAGGGCTCTTGGTGGCACGTCCTTGCTTCCCAAGAGCCCGCATGGTCTCTGTGGACACATGCACACACACGTGTTGGGGTGGCATGGTGGCACTGGAGGCCCTGCAAGCCCGCCACAGGGGTTCGCGTTCCGGACGGCGAATCTTGTTCACAGCCGTTGGGGGCGGCTGGGCGGTCCTCTACACCACCGTGTTGAGGGAGCTGGGGCTGTGCCCCCCGCCTCCCCGCAGCGCCTCTGCGGACGGGGCGCCCTCGCTCGGGGCAGGGGGGGGGGGTGCCAGCAGGGCGCTGCTGCTGTCCCCCGAGTCTTCCAGGTTGGCCAGTGGGACCCCCGTGGAGGGCACAGGTCGCTCTAGGCGCCGGGGCGAAGTCCCGTCACCGCTGCTGTCCCCCGGGGCTGCTGGGCTGGCCTCTGCTGGCTCAAAGGCATCGTCATCTGAAGGGGGAGAGGGAGCGGAAGAGCTGGGGCGGTGGGCAGGAGGGACTGGGCAGAACTGGCGACACGTCTCCTGCCCAAGTGCTCCCTCAGCTTATGGGTGCAGTGGACAGCCCTCCCCAACCGCTGGGCCCCAGGGAGGGCCTGTTTTGCAATGGGCCTGCAGGCCACACCCCTCAGAGCCGCTGCCTGCCATCCCCGGTTGGCTGCGCATTTGAGTATGCCGGACACAGTTCCTGCCATCACAGTGAACGTGCACTGATGTCCAAGAGGACAAAACCCCGGACTGATGATGGGTGGAGATGTGGCGGTCGATGTGGGCAGACAGCTCTTGGGCTGCGGTGGGAGAGCCCGTACAGGGCAGATGGGACAGAACACATGCCTGGCCAAGCACCGTGGCTGGATCGTGTGGGAGTTGGGCTGGAGCAGGCAGGACCTTGCAAGCCATGTGAGTGTCCACAGCCAGTTCTGGTCTAAGGAGGGCCCTGTGGCAGGCCAGCCACGTCATTCGGGCCACTTCCTCGTTGCTGGGCTGTGTCTGACAGCGTCTTGTGTCCCAACGACAGGGTCAAATCCAAGTCTCTGCTGCCTCTCCAGACCACAGGTGAGCTGAGCTGGCCCATCAGATGGACACACGACTGGGACGGCACCCCTGGCAGCATGCGCTGTCATGGATGAGGTGTGTGGGGCACTGCTGGCAGTAACACTGTGCTGTGTGGGCTCACGTGTGTGCGTGTGCATAGGTATGTGCATGCGTGATAGGGCACGAAGCAAAGGGAACATGGGCTGGGGTCCTGAAGGGCTGCTGGGGAGAAGGAAGTGAGCATGACATCGGGCTGTGATGCCGTGTGGACACCAGGGACAGGCCAGAGAGGGCGACGGCAGACTGTGACACCCTGTGCAGATACCGGGGACAGGCCAGTGAGTTTGAGACTGGGCTGTGAAGCCCTGCAGGGACACCAGGGACAGGCCAGTGAGTGTGACTCTGTGCTTGGTTCTTTCCTACCAACATCTGAGGGTAATGAGTGGGGGCTGATAAGACCAAAGGGACCTCCTTGGGGCTAATGCCAACGGGGCTGAGAAGCCCTGCAGGAACAGGCTGTAAGTGTGACACCTGCGTTTCTTCTTTGCCCATCAGCCCTGGGAGGAACCGTCCTCCCCAGTGTTCAGACGGGTAAACTGACTCAATCATCAGCCCAACATGGCAGTGCTGGTTCTTTCTTCCATTCCGTGGAGCTGCATCCTGCCCCGGGGCCTGCATGGTGAGGTCTCATCACTCATTAGAACACAAGTCTTTATGACCCACTGGTCAGTTCCTGCCCTGGAAGCCTCCCTACTCTCTAGAGCCTGGCTGAGGTGGGGTACCCACAAGGACTGGGCAGTGACTGGTTGTTCAAATGGGGAGGAAGGAGGTCCCTGGCCCCATGGGAGCCTTCTGCACCACCATCCAGGGTGAGTAAGGGGCACGGTGACCAGTGTCTGCAGAGAGCATCACCCAGCCTTCTGCACCACTTTCCGCAGGTCACCTGCACGTGGAGCCCTTGAGGAGCCTGCTGACAGGTGAGGTACCTGCAGGGCTGGAGAGGACCTGTTCACAAACAGGCCGTGAGGTGCGAGACCACCTGGCGGGAAACCACTTGGTCTCTGTGCTTGGTTCTTTCCTACCAACACCTGAGGGTAATGAGTAGGGGTTGATAAGACCAAAGGGACCTCCTTAGGGCTGATACCAACTATGATGGTTGGGGTTGTGTGTCAACTTGGCTGGGCCAGGATTCTGAGTGGTTTAAGCAGTTGTGATATGGTTATTTCCATGATGAGATCGGATGTGTATGTTTTGAGCAGCCAATCCGCTGAAAGGGAATTTCCCTAGGGGTGGGTGTGGCCTACTTCCGATATATTTATGGACACCCTGGGAAAAGAGACACTCTTCTGTGGATCAGGATTCTGTTATGCTGCCTACAACTGTCTGTGAGCAAACAAGCCACCATTCGGCCTGGAGATCTTGGATCCGTCACTCGTTGGAGTCAACAGCCAGTACACTGCCTGCCAGCCTTGAGCTCTTCAGTCCCTGCAGCTGCGTGTGTTGGGAAAAGCCTCCAGTTTGATGCTTGATCCAGGAACTTGGGACTTGTCAGCTTCTATAAGTGTGTGAGCCATTTTCCTAAAATAAATTTCAATCTCTCTCTAAGCTTTACTGGTTTTGCTTCTCTAGACAACCCAGACTATCACACCGACTGAGCTAATGGGGTCTGATGCTGTCCAGCAAGGCCAGGGCCGTGTCCAGGCAGGGCCCGAGCCCACACACAGCCTCCTGGCTGGTGGCAGCAGTGCACCCCTTTGGGACAACAGAAGCTGGACGCCGTGCTCCTCGCAGACACAAGTGTATCTGTCCCAAACTGCACGTGTCTCTTCTTTGGTTTTTGGTTGTATTCTGTGATGATTACGGTACACTCTTTGTGAATCCCAAGAGTCATTCTGACAAATGAACAAATGCCCTGGGGCATTTGATGGCAGGGGCTGGTGTCTGCCTGGTTGGTACCTGTATGTGGTATTATGTTTGCGTGTCAACTTGGCTGGGCCTGGTTGAGTGGCTGGACAGCTGGTGGTAGTTATTCCCCATGAGGAGACTGGCAACCAACTCCATAGTGGGATCTACAACAAGCAGCTGAGTAGCTGCCTTTGGGATGCAGTCTGCTTTCTGTATTTAAGGAGAAGCTTTGGGAATGGTCTCTAGCCTATGGCACGCTTGGACCCTGCATGTAGCCGTGTCGTTGCTCAGCAGCCTGCTATGCTCTGCTGTCCTTGGGACTTACAATGGACTTAAGTTAATGGCCTTCCATGTGGTTTGGTAACATTGAGACTGTGCCTTTTTATTTGTAAACCTTGGAGCTTCTCAGCCTCAGCAGCCAGCAGCTGTCTGAATGAAGAAATGCCTCTAGCTCCAGTGGGCTGGGAGCAGGAGGCAGAGCTGGACCCCAAGGTTGAGTGGCTTTCACCCAGCCCCTAGAGCCTGGCAATTTGGACTTGGACTTAAAGCCTCCAAATTGTAAGAATAAACTCCTGTTTGTTAAGGCCATCCCATTTGTGGTATATTCCTGTCAGAGCGGCACCAGGGAACCAGAACACTGGTAGCTGAGGTTGTGTGTCAGCTGGGCTGGGCCTGGTTGAGTGGCTGGGCAGCCAGATGTAGTGATTCCCCATGGTGAGACTGGTCATCAACTCCATGGTGGGATCTACTGGAGCAGCGGAGCAGCTGCCTGAGGGGTGTCTGCTTCCAGTAAGAAGAGTCTTGAGCTTTTTGGCACATCTGGGTCCTGCACTTGGCTGACTCTTCATTTCAGTGGCCTGCCACAAACCAGGGGCCTACCGTGTTGCTTGACAATTTTAGGACTGTGCCATTTTCCTTGTCGACCTTGGGTTTGTCAGCCTCAGCAGCCAACAGCTGCCTGAGTTAGGAGAAGCCTCTAGCTCCAGTGGGTTGGGAGCAAGAGGCAGAGCTGAAGCCCAAGGTCGAGGGGACTTCACCCAGCCCCTAGAGCTGGCACTTTGAACTTGGGACTTCTAGCCTCCTAAACTGTAAGAAAATAAACTCCTGTTTGTTAAGGCCATTTTACCTGTGGCATCTTCAGTTACCAGAAAACCAAAATAGCATCTGAAAGCAGGTGTGCTTTTAACATGAGCTCGGGCCTCAGGTCTGAGTGGCTGGGGCTAAGAGGGAGAGTGATGTGTGGATGGCTGGTGAGGAGGATGGAGAAAAGGGAAGAAGGTTAGGCCTGGATCCATTTTCCACTCCGGGAACCTGATTCATGCTGACGCTGACCTTGACCCTCACCATGACCGCCACAATGGGATGTGCCCACGGTGCCTTTGGCTTAGTGCACAGGGGATGGTGCATGTGCTCTGGGGAGGGTTTGCTCACTGCACAAGTGACAGTGCCACCTTAAAGGGAAAACCTAAGAGAGGACATGAGGACAGAAAGAAGGGAGGGAGAGGGAAGTAGCACCCTCTGGAGCTGGGGCCCTCTCCCCCGGGCAGGGGCAGGTACCTGCAGGGTCATAGAAAACACTGTCCGGGTTGATGGAGGCTTCATAGGGTGGCGGTGGGTCATCAGGCTGGTCAATGTCCGGGTACTTGTAAGCTGTGTAGGGCGGGGGCGGGTCGTGGAAGTGGAAAGTCCCGCCTTCCCCATCATCGGAGAGATGGAGTGGAGTGAGCCCAGTGCCAAAGCCATCCGGGCCATAGTCGAAGCCGGGGACCCTGCGGCCGAGGTTGAAGTGGTGCACTGTGGGTCGTAAGTGGGAGACAAGACCCAGCTGTGGGTCTCCTGTGGGCCAGGCCTGCCCCCCACAGGGAGGGTGCTGGGACTCCCCAGCAGCCCCCACCCTGCACCACTCCAAGCCAGACCCTACTCAGGCTGCCCACTGGCCCCCAGCAGCCCCAGCACACCACTCCCCAGCCACTGTGGCCCAGCTGTCTGACTCTGATGACGTCTGGGGTCTGCCCTCCTGCAGCCCTGGGAGGCACGGCTCAGGGAGAACTGGAACGCCCACGGGTGCGAGGGTCGTGGTGACTAGGGGCTTCGTGGCCGGCTGGGGTGGCTGAGAGCAGCCGGAGGCTCCCCCGGCAGCAGCAGGCACAGCGTCTCTCACAGGCACCTTAGCGGCACTCTGGCCCCCTCGGTCCTGAGCCCCCCGTCTGCGTGGCCCTCCAGTGTGCACCCCGCCCTGTCTGAGTGCATGTGCAGGGACACGGCATCGATGCAGACGCTGCCTGGCTGGGGCACCTGGTGCAGAGCTCGTCCTGAGGGGGGTGAGCCCCACTCGACTCGAGGCGGGTGACCCCCTCCCTTGACGCCTGAGGCAGGTGAGCCCCACTCTCTCGACTGCCTGCAGGACCCAGTGTCTGCTGCTCCTGGGGGCAGGCTCTCTGCCTCCTGGCAAGGGGGCACACTCACTGCTCAGGCCACTACGAGAGAGAACAATCACCATCTGCAACATGGCCGCCGCCCTTCTGCCAGTGAGGCTCAGAGCAAAGTGGAGGGCAGGCGCCCAGGGGCAGCTGGCACTGACCCTGTGACCCTGCCATGGCCGTGGCCCGTCTCTATTTCAGCGCCCTTGGCTGTGCGTCTGCTTCTCCACAGGTGCACCCAGCCCAGGAGCAGTGCAGGGTGGGGGTGCGACGCTCCAGGGTGCCTGTCACCACGGGAACAAAGTCCCACCTTGGGAGGCTGTGCCCAGGTGGGCCCCACATGCTCTCAGGGGCTGCGCCACGGTCACCCCCCAGTGGGCACTCCTTTCCCAACACCCCGGCCCTCCTGGGTCCCTGTTCCCGAAGGAAGCCCTTGCACCAAGCCTGACCCCAGACCCGGTTGTGGAACGTGCTCGTGCGGAGGCACGGGGAGGGCCCACTGCCACGTGCTGGCGCAGACAGACGGATGGACACTCACGGTTTGCTCCGATCAGCGACTCGATGCGCTCACGTCGCCGCTGGCGCAGCCGATGGACCATGAAAAGCAGCAGCGACAGGATGAGGAAGGAGGAAATGCAGCTGACGATGAGGCGCATGCCGCTGGCCATGGAGTCGAACAGGCTGCTGCCGTCTGTCGGGCGGGGAGAGGGGGCGCCGGCCGTGAGGCAGAGCGGCCTCGGCAGGGCGACCCCGAGACCCCAGCCCCACCCGCTCAGCTGGCGAGACCAGCCAGGAAGTCCCACGGCGGAGACTCGCAGGAGCCTGGGCTTCTCGAGCTTCGTGATCTCTCAGGATAAACGTTAGCGACAAAAGGGTTCAAAAGCAGGAATACTGTGGGAACTGTCGAGAGCAGAGAAGTGCGGTGTCGTTTAAGGAAAGGCTCCCTTACAGGCATGGTCAGGAACCCCGGCTTCCCTTGCCACACTCCTGGCTTGTCTGTGTTAAGGGAATTGAGCAAGTTCCTTTGGGGAGCTCCAGCTTTGAGTATCTGCTGTGTCTGAAACCTGGACTGTGTCCCACGAGCAAGAAAGCTGTCATCTGTCCCATGACAGGCATTTCTAAGAATGCCTACTGGTGACAACAGTGTTCTGTGGACATACACTACATGGCCGGGGGAGGGTGTGAGGTGTGAGAACAGGGCTGCAGGAGCACACACACACGCGTGCACACACACACACATCCTCCCTCCGTCCCTCCCAGCAGGGCAGCATCCTGGCGGCCAAGGCCACGCCGCACGCTCCACAGGACGACACTTGGTGCTGAGGAGACGAGCTGAGGGCAAAACCTCAACACTTCCTGCACTAAGCTGAGAGTCATGGGAGCAAACGATAACAAAACACATAATTTAAAATTATAAGAAGTGCTCACACAACAGTGAAACCACTCAAGGGACAAAGAGCCAAGAGGACGGCAGCTTCCGGTTGTGCGGTCGGGCGCAAAGAGCCGGAGTCTGCATGTGAAAAACCGAACACCAACTCTTCTTGGATCCAGCACAGCACTGAGGCCACAGGGTAAACCGTCACCCAGAAAACTAGACAGGGACACAGGCTGATACAGAGGATCAGCGCTTAGGCTGCTGCGGCCACACCCAGTGTCCAGTGGGAACAGGGACCAATCGCTGGGGATCGAGAGACCAGCTCTAGCCATGAAAACTGCGGGCGGCTCAGCCTGGAGGAGGGCCACACAGTGTCACTTCCACAAGCCTTCCCCCCAGGTCCCCTCACGTTTTGGGCAGAGGAAGAGGAAGGCAACCATTCTGAAGGAGTGCCTCTGTTCTTCAGAGCAGCCTGTCCTCACAGGAAGTGACTGTCCAAGAGTCTGACCAACACAGAAGAAGGGACGTGTCCAACTCCAGTCCCCTTCGAGCCTTCCTGTTTGAGCTAAGGGGTGAAGGGACAAAAAGCACGGAGCAAAAAGCTGAGAAGCACTCAGAAAAAAACAGAATGGAGGGGACAGGCTCCCTGGGAGACTGGGAGCTGTCACAACCTCACCCTCCCTCACACCATGCCACCACGTGAGCATCTCAGGGCTTTACAGGAACCCAACGGAAAGAACCGCACTTCCTGTCACTTGATCCAGCACATCTGACCTTCCACAAAAAATTGTAAGGTGTGCAAGAAGGCAAAAAAACTGAAAATCCAAACTCACATTTTAAAGAGCTAGGATAAATATCAGAACCTGACCTCTGATACCTCAGAGGTTCTGGAAGTGTCAGACCAGGAATTTAAAATAACTATGATGCCAATGGTTCTAACGCAAAGAGTGGACACCACGCAAGAACTGGTGGGTAGTGGAAGCAGAGAGATGGAAACGTGAATCACGAATCACGAGGCAAGGCCAGAACCAGAGAAGGCGCATCAGCGGACCAGACACAGCAACAGAGATAACCAGTGAGCCCGGAGCTATGGCAGCAGAAACTGCCTGAACTAAAAGCGGAGTGAAAACAGACTGAAGAAGGAAAACAGGAGCAGAACGTCCACGAACTGTGGGATAATTACAAAGAGTGTAAGATAAACCTAATGGGGCTATGAGAAGGGGAGGAGAAAGAGAAACAAAAGTATGTGAAATAATCATGGATGAAGGCTTTCCAAAACTGTTGACAGACAAAAAGCCAAAGATCCAGGAAGCGCAGAGAACAAGCAGGATAAATACTGTTTTGGATCTCTGCTGTTGTTGTGAGGTGCCGGTGAGTCATCTCTGACTCACAGTGACCCCATGTACAACAGCATGAAACACTGCCTGGTCCTGTGTCAGCCTCACGATCCATTGTATACCTGAGCCCATTGTTGCAGCCACTGTGTCAGTCCATCTTGTTGAGGGCCTTCCCCTTTTTCGCTGACCCTCCACTTTACCAAGCATGACATCCTTCTCCAAGGAATGGTCCCTCCTGACTACAGGACCAAAGCAGGTGAGACAAAGCCTGGCCATTCTCACTCCTAGGAGCATTCTGGCTGTACTTCTTCCAGGGCAGATTTGCTAGTTCTTTTAGCAGTCCATGGTACTTTCAGTATTATTTGCCAACACCACAACTCAAAAGCCTCAACTCTTCCTCAGTCTTCCTTATTCACTGTTCAGCCCTCACATGCATACGAGGAGACTGAAAATACCATGGCTTGGGTTAGGTGCACCTTAGTCTTCAAGGAGACATCATTGCTCTTCAGCACTTTAAAGAGGTCTTTTGCAGCAGATCTTCCCAACGCAATAGGTCGTATGATCTCCTTTCTGCTGCTTCACTGGCGTTGATTGCAGAATGAAGTACTATGAAGTCTCTGACAGCTCTG